ACATATAGAAAGTATAAAATACTGCTCTTAGCATAAGTACATTTTCATGCAAATGAAGGCATTATGGAAATTTAAATTTCAATATGATGACATTAGCAGTTCATGAAATGCTTTACATGACAATTTGAGAGAATTTTGTGCAGAGGAAAGAGTCCATGTTTATTCTTTTATTTTGTCACAATACTGAAAGATCTCCCTTATCATGCAACCATCTTGCTTGTTTCCCCTCTGAAATCCTGAACTGCAAGAACTGCCTGGAGGATGGCTCCACAGCAGATCTCAGTACAGCAGCTCTGAGGGTGACTCCAGGAGCAATCCTATTGCAGCTGAAGTTTACCTCCAAGCCTAGTCCATGACCTCCATCCTTCCCAACCTACTCCATTCCATGTTTACTGGATGGCTACTGGATGGATTGTCTCAGAGCAGCATGAATCAGCAGGACACTAACAACACAAATACAACTACAAAAAGTGTAGCATATTTATAAACTTAGTATGTTGAAAAGATTTAGAGAAATCTAAGGTATACTGGAATTGATGCACAGAGATTACACTGAGATAAGACAGGATTTGCTGAAAATTTATCTCAATCTCTGGTTTCTCTTCCACAATTTTTCATTTCATTATTTTAAATTCACAGAAGTATCTCTGAGATCCTCTCGCTGGTGATTCTTCCTACTTCTTTCCTAGCTCCAGTCCTTCAATGTTGCCCCACCTTTTGTACCTCCTTCAGAAAGAAAGGCAGCTTTCACACGGTACAAGTCACAGCTCTCCCACTTTCATTTCTTCTGTTCACATTCTTTATTATTATGTTTAACAGAAAGAGGGAATACAACAGGTTCCTTTTGAACAAAGAGATTTACAACAAAAATAGAAAACTGAGACAGAATTAAGGCACTGGAGTTTATAGGTAGCTGCAGGAGATGAGCACAAGAACATCTGGGAAAAACTAAGGTATGATATTTAATGCCAAGGGAGTACTCTCTCAGAATCTTAAAATTTCTCCTTTTTGCTGTCCACAGTACTCAGCACTCAGAGCTTCTACTGTAAAATATTTCACAGGTGTGTCAAGAAGCTTTACATGGATACAAGGGGTTTTACTATAAGCCAATAAGACCTAAAAATATACCACTTATCTTGTAAGAATGATTTTTACTAGCTTATAACTTTTCAGATTATATCAACAATATTTGTGCTACTGGGATTCACTGAGGTATTGCCAGTTCTCAAAATGTTAATACGAATACTTCTATAACAGTTTTCATGTCCATGTAACTCTAACAGAACTTCATGCCTTAAAAGAAGATGTATGTGTATTTCCTATCAGAGATGGAATAAGGTTCAAAAATATATATCCGAAGTCTTCAACCTACGAACAAGCTTTTTAAAAATATCAAAAATAATGAACACTTTGTACATTCTGATGCCTCTGAATTTTACATGAGTTCCTAAAAGTGTGTGATAGCATTGCTTGAAATGACTGAATTAATTTTACTGTCCTGTTCTGATTCTGAAAGGTGACACTTGTAACATTCCTTAAATAACTGGGACCGAGACAGAGATGACAGTGGTGATTTTTCATAAAAAAGAGAACCTAACTTTGTTACAAGGCATAAGGAGGGACACCAAGCAAGAGCTGGAAATAAGGCAAGGGTTGTGCAAGTCCACACCAAGCTGGAAGGGTCACCCTAAATGCTCATGCATCCAAGATCTGAGTTTACAGTATAGGATGACTACAGAGTTGCCATCAAACCAAAAACCATGGCTGAATAGTTAAGAATCTTGACAGGGTTTGACTTGTATTCTATACTGAGTTTTAGGAACGTTGCACAAATTTGTCAGTCTTGAGAGTATTGTAGCAACTAGAAATTCCGAATGGATGAATGAATGAATAAATGAATGAATGAATGTTAAAGACCTTTGCACAGGAGAGGTGGAAAAGGTAAGCATTTCTTGTCAGAGGAAGAGTCTTGCCTCCTCCTTCTCACCACTTCTCTTCTCTGTAGGTGTCCATTTCATTGCCAGTACCAACGAAGGCACAGGATAAAAGAATGCAAGAACTTTGACGGCATTTCACATCCATGAAGCCCCAGTGCCCTGGATCAGAAAGCAACATCTGCAAAACAACTTGCTATGAACATGGAATTCCCACCTAAAACACTACTTCAAAATTTAAGTATAAGGGATGAAAAAGCTGGAGAAACACTCAGCTGCTCAGTTTAAACTAGAATTCTGTTTTCTTTTTTTTTATCACATCATGTTTCCACCTAAAGCATGGTGTTAAGTCCCTCGGAACAAACTTATTTTATTATTAATCATATTCAATATTGAGGGCTAGCTTGACAGGAGTGAAATGGACACACTAATCATAACTACTGAGAGAAAGTAGTGCATGGAGGCAATACCAGGAATGCTGGGGACAACAGGACAGAAACAGGCCTCTTACGGGGAACAAATTACTAAGGGACAGCTACACCTGAAAATATCATACACAGGTACCAAAGGAGCAGTTAATAGATTCCTTGCTATTGTCATGCAGGTTTTATATTACCTAAAATAATTCTGGTAGCCACCAATGATTTTAGAGTACCTAGCAAGTTACACTACGGTTAATGTGATTTGTTAACTCGTTTTGTTTAAGATAATTTAATAGGCATTTTAAAAATCTAGGCTCAGGCCTTCTCCACTGAATAGAAAAACATACAAAATGTTTAATGAAATAGAGTAACTACATAGTCCATTAAGCACATAATATTTTAACTATATGCTATGTGATCAGCCTACTAAGTGGAACCGTCATGTCTATGCCTGCCTACTTAAAGTTCCTATATTTCAGTGTTCAACAAAAACATTTCATATTTTATTTATCTTCTTATGTCAGCCTCTCATATAAAACTGCATATAGTTTACAACTGAGCAAAGAAAATATATAATGCACAAAAAAAAGCAAGCAGCATTAAATTTCAAACAGAAAATGACTGTCACATGACCAATTTGCCATCAAAACATCAGTTCCAAGTTTGTACCTAACCTCAAGGACCAAACCCTCAAGAAGAATAAAGGACATCTAAAATCATGGGTATTTTGTTCCTTGAGGACATTCAGAGCAAATCTGGCAATGGTCCTACACTGGCACAAGAAACAATTCAGCTAAAAATTGAGTAGCAATGAAAAAAAAACCCACAAGAGCAGCAAATACCATTTCCCAATAGCAGATCAAACTCAGCAGCAGAACAGAAGGCAGCAGAGCACAAACTGATCTGAGAATAAAAAAATCATGAGGTCCAGAGATAACTGTTACTAATTATGTATCTTAAGAGATAGAATCTTTATTTCCTGTTGGAGGACTCCAGAAGTCTGCTTTCTCCATTCATGATAGATATTAGTATTCTGTTAATCGGCCTAAAATAGCCTGTTGCTGTTATTTTCTATAACCAAGAAAGAAGAATATTAGCCATTTTCTTTGGGCTCAATGCAAACACACAGTATAATACAGAAAGGGGAGAGGGATAAGAAGGGGAGGATTGAGATTCTGCTACACACTCTCTTTACTGCTGCCATCCTGTTTTCACATGGGAGAGCAGTATTCATCAGGGGCTATGTACAATTTCTTTCTTCTCTTTGGTGCTGATGCTGACACACAGAGAGATTCCACAAGAAATGACAGCACTCTGTTAATTATCAAAGGACACCCAGGGCTGAAATTGTGCTGGTACATACTGAACCCTGCACTTTCCTGAGCTGTAGTGCCGTGCCCTGTAAGTAAAGCTTATGTTGCTTGTAGCCTTTAGATTTTTTCAAAATAATTTGATCATGCTAAAGGTTACCCATTAGCCACTGGAATTTTTCATGATGTGCACCCCACAGGTATTTTCACACTCTGAGAAATGCTTTATTACTTGAGAATAGAGAAATTTTCTCCTTTGCAGGACCAGTAGAATCTTCTACCATGGAGTAAGTGAGAATGCCAAGAAGGGCTTTCCATGTCACAATTGAAATCACTCTGAACCACACAGAAATACAGAACTTAAAAAACCCCAGAAGTACATAGGAAAGTCAGGCAAAAACAGATGCAGAATATGATAATTATTGTAGTACAAATGAAATATATAAACCATACATGTTTCAGTTGAATGACAGTCCACGTGTACATTCACACTCTGGATGTCTCCAAGCCATTAAGCTTATGCTATAAATTCCCTAGTGGATGACCTCAGAGGTCTCCAGGTAAACTGCAATGCAGAATCACACCATGTGCCTGACAGCATTGTCCAAATGCTTCTTGAACCCTGTCAGGCTTGGTGCTGTGACCACTTCTCTGGGGAACCTGTTTCAGTGCTCAACCATTCTCTGGGTGAAAAAACTTTTCCAGACATCCAACTTAAACCTTCTAGACACAGCTTCAGGCCACTCCCTCTGTTCCTGTAACTGGGCACCACAAAGAAGAGATCAGTGTCTGTCCCTCCTCTTCCTCTTGTAAGTTTTAGACTGAAATGAGTCTCCTTTCAGGCTGAACAAACCAACTGACCTTATCTGCTCTTCACAAGGCTTTCCCCTCTAGACCTTTCACAATCTTCCTGGTCCTCCTTTGGACTCCCTCTAATTGCTTTGTATCTATTTGATATTATGGCTCCCCAAACTGCACACTGGACTCTAGGTTTATCAAGTTCCTGCTTTGGCCATTCATTGTAAATCTTGATCAATCTCTATGCACTAAGAGGCCAGCATACATGGAGAAACCTTTAATCCTTTCAGCAACAGTGCAGAGGCTCTGCCCATGCTAATAAATCAAAAGGGCCAACATACAGGCTCAAGGGCTGAATCTGTGAATATAAAACCATGGTACTTGCTCGTGCTGCCCTGATGTCAAGTGTCTGAATGAGGAAACTTGCACGTCTGAAGTTTAGAGGAAAAACAGAGATAAGATAAAATGTGGCCACAACTGTAGAAGTTTCCCTCTACATGTACCTAGAGTTAAAAATGTGTATGGAAAATACAGACCTTCACTTATCCCAGACTTCTTGCACCTTCATGGAAAGGTGGAGCCACGCATGGGCAGTTAGGAGGTTACAAGGCAGTCCCATGTAGCAGTGCATTGCAAGGTTTAAGTCAAACCAGCCACTAGACAAATATCTTAAGCTTTTGATGAACCTGGAAAAGGGCAGAAAATGGATGCTTACTCCTTTGGTGAGCATGAGCAGACATGCGTGACACATGGGCTTTTACAGAGTTGAGGGAGAGGACACTGGAAATGGTAACAAACAAACACATTAAATATCAAACATTCCTCTCTGGAATTTATAGGGACTGGTCTAACTGAAGCAAAGAGTAATGTTCTCACTTGTACTCACAAAACACTCACAAAGCTCTTAGAAGTCTTCAGCACCCACATTGTGACAGTGGAGTATTTTGGGAAAGTGGCAAAAGTCAGAAAGACTTATCTGTCAGGCGTCACTGTCTGACTGGGCAAGGAACTGGTGGAGTATTGTCCTGTGGCCTCACACTGCCACCATAGCAAAAGTTTTCTGTAATATGAGAAACAATAGCTGAAAGGATACAAAGTGGGAGAGCTCACAGAGGGGAGACATACTTAGTGTTAGGTGATGTCTGGCACAAGGCAGTGCAGAGGTTAGCTGAGAAATGTATTGTCAGAAAAAGAAAGCACAGAGTAGAATCTGTTCACAGACAAAAGAGCTCTCACAAATTGAGAGTTAATAGTTTCTCCAGTGAGCCTAAGGATTTGCAGTAATATAATTTTTGTTTCAAGTGTTCACCTTGGGACCCAGATGCTTGGAAAGAGACTCAGACATTTGGAAAGATTCAGGTTTTGCACCTTTGTGGCACCCCTTATCAAGGAAACAATTGTAAAAGTAAATGAAAAAAAGGCACACAGGGGGACACAAGTTAACAGCAATGACTACCACCACCACGATGAAAACTTCAAGGGTAACAGACAGGACATATGGAAGAACCCTGAAATGAACACAGTTACCATCTGAGAAGAAAATAAATTATTAACGAGAGGTCAGACTTCTAAGCATATGACATTATGCACCTTCAATTCTAAAAAGTTACAGACCACATACTGAATACCTATAAATGCTGTCCAAATCCATACTGAATTTCTGCAGGAATAGAGTGCCAAAACACACTTGCTTCAGGCAAGAAACAACATCTGTATAATGCACTCTACTGAGGTGTCCTGCAACTGGCTGTAAGTTACCTGGGATGAAATCTTCACTTGCCCAAGAACTGAAGAAAGAGGAAATACCTTATAGGAGGACACTGACAGATGTCTGGATCCAAGACAAATTCATCATCATAGGAACGGACAATGCAGACTGCCCAGAAGATTCTATGGCATTTACAGAAACCAGTAAGAATGTTCTGTCAACCGCCTGTGCCTCTGACCCCATTAGGGTACAGTCTTCCAACATGTAAAGGGAGGAAATCTGAAACAGGTAACATCAACAGTCTCATTTATGAGACGGAACCCCAATGATGCAATTGAACAGGCTTATTTCCATTCTCCTGAATACAGTAACTGCTTCAAAGTGTGAGGAGCTAAGAGGGATGCAGAGCAAGTCCTCTCCCTGGAGCCTGCTGTTGCTTGCCAAGTCCTCCTGGTGGCAGAAGGAGAGTAGGCTAGAGCAGAATGTCTAGCTCTAAAATTACCCCAAAGTGGCCACTCTTGTGCAAAACGTCCATTCATCAGACTTGATCATGTTTCTACTTCTTTATTAAGGGGGAGTCTAAAATACTTTGTGATCAGTTAAGCAGGTTCTTGAAGCCACTCTGGTCCCAGATGCAGCAGTAAGACAGGCGAGCCCGATATGATCAACAATCAGACAACCTTACACACATTCATGGGGAAAAAAAATTATACTGGGGAGGCAAACAGGAAGACCTTTTCTTACCATAGGCCAAAAGGCTGAAAAAAATCACTGTTGCACCATTAGCAGGTTTTTCACCTCAATAATGCAAACTCTTCCTGAAGAGATTTCTGTATCAACCAGATCAATACAAACTGACACAGTGATAACTGAAGCAGAAGCTTTTATAAAGCAGATATATATACAAATTTGAAAGAGATTTCTCAAATAATGGGATAATATATAAATATGCTTGCAACATAAGTGCAGGTAAAGGACATTGTGAAATGCCCTTTTGACAACCTAAATGATCCTGTGATTCTCTAAAATGCCTCAACAGGGAATATATCTAATCGTTTCAGAGTAGCAAGATATTTTATTCAAAATTTTTATTTCAGACATTAACTGAACATCAACTCATAAAAGGACATGCCTTTAACTTCACCGTTTATTACATTATATTACTTTATTTGTTCCTACATTTTCTTTTTTCATATAAACATTTTTCTCCATTGCTTTTCTTTTTAAAATTAAATTACTTAACTGGTGTTTGATGATGAGGCCTAAGAGGAAGCTCTCACATGAATTCAAAAGTCTTTCATGTTTAAAATTAAAGCAGTAGAAAATTTAAGTAAATTACTGAATAAAAAGCCAGAGATAAAAATAAAATTCCAGAATTTCCTCTCAGGAAAAAAAAAAAAAAAAAACAAACCAAAGTTTTAGGATTATATGTTACTTCAAAAAAATCAAAATTGAATACTGCAGAGCAGCATACTCTTAAAAATGTCAATCTGCATTCAATTCAAGAGAGACGAATACTGCCTCATTTCTGTTTATGTTATTATGTTAGGAAATAGTGCTAGTTAGAGGTAAGTCTCTCAAGTCAACTTTAATAGTAAAGATACAGCTAAATGAGAGACATAAATAGCTAATTACAAGAGGCCCGATTTTGCATTATTTCTGTATCACTTTTAAATTGCAAGTTGACTCTCATGGATACCAGAGACTGGTATTTTAAGATTCTTATGACTTTAGGAACTTTTTTGAGCAGCATGTTATTATCTTGGTTTAAAGAATTAAGGTATCTGAAAGTCCAAGGTTCCCATCTCCATGCCCACACTCAAAACACATCATACGTTGCAATAAGAGGAAAACACTTCTACATTTTTAATCTGCAACACTGTTAGCTTATCTTGTAAAACCTTCTCTTAAAAAACATGCTTCTTTAAATGACTAGAAGTTGAAGAAAATAAGATTCCTCCAAGTGAATTTTAGTGGAATTACTTACAGAATTAATTTTTTTTGCAGAAGATTTTTTTTGCATTTTATGATCAAAATGTACACGCAGCATATTGAAATTCAAACCAATTTAGAAGTCTTAAAATACTTATCTTCATCAGTACACAACCTCATCATTTTGGTAGACACTTCGATAAAGTTTTATTCAAATCACATGATAAGAAAATGTCGTCATTTCATACACAGTAACCAAAAGGTTTACTGGAGGATCAGTCATTATTTTGCATTTCTAAATGCAAGATGGTATTCCTGTACAGCCTAAACACGGTATTTTTTCCCCAAATAATAAGCCTAGCCTTTAAGACACTGTATAACATTGTAGCCTGTACAATAAAATGATTCTGCATTCAGCTTAGAGATCTTCTGTCTTTGTTTCCGTCCTCCTTCAGGCCAAAGAGGTGCAGAAGTCCCTGAGGAACAGCTAGATTCCATTTTATCCAGGAAAGCACAACTGCCCTTCCCTGCCTCCTCTCTGCCTGCACAAGCACAGAGGACAGGGATGCAGGAAGGCAGCAGCAGCCCTTCAGCAGAGGGAACCACAACCAGTCCCACGCAGCCAGCTCCTCCCGAAGCCTCGGGATGTGCCAATTCCCAAGTGCTCCTGCCCCTGAGAAGACAGGCCCCCCTGGCTGCCAGCCCTTTCACACACCTGTCCTGGGCCAGGGATGCGCTTCCCAGCACAGCACTGCACCTGCTGGAGTGGCTGCCACCACCTATGGACCACTTTTACACCATCTGAAGCCTAGTAGTGCACAGAGAAAAATTATATTTGTGGATACTGGAGATAAAGTTTATGTGCTGAAAGCCATAAAAACCTTTGAAACAAGCAGTCCACTTTTTTTTTTGGTAGTAGTTTTCTATATCAGAAACCAGTACCTACCAAAGCAGATTGATAAGGAAGTTTACTTTATGCACTCTTTGAACCATGGATGAAGCAAAACTTAACATCATGCTGAAATTCAGCACCACAGATATACAGAACCAGAAATATAAAATAATCAAACTGTGTCTCAAACTGTTTAAAATAAAAGGTTATATTGATAGAACGTACCATATGCGGTATTGAGTCATCTCTAAGTAATGTTGGTCAAGTTCAATTAAGTAGAACACATAATTTCAGTGAGCTGCAATCATCATTGTTTCAAATTAGCATAACTACAATATTAATTACATATTCCTAGAAAGCAAGACGAATTAGGTATACAGGAGAATATGAAATATCCATGATTAAAAAAACTCCCTGCAAATCATCTGCAACAGTGTTATTATAGGCTAATTTTTTTTCCTAATTTGACATGTTAAAGCTTCCTTCCTACCATACGTGTAAGACACTGAAGAATTTTCAGACCAATATATCATAGTATGACAAGACCATCACGTTAGGCAACTAAGCATGGCTTCCTTTGCCACCTGCCATTTCTGTCAGCTCTCCTGAGCACTTCAGTAAATCTCCCAGTAGAAAACGATAACGTGCCACCATTTATGTTCAAATGATATGCTTTTTAACCAGGATCTGATAAACAAGATCTGAAGCACTCCATTAAAGCTTTCCAGAAGTTCTGCAACCACTTCACTTGAATTAGACACGGTGTATGATGCAGTCATTAATTGAAAAGAAGAAATGCCATGAGTTCTTAGACCGGTATTTAGTATTCATGTCATTCTCTGCATTTCTCTACCATACAATTTTTAACAGACCAAAAGTTTTGTAATAGTAACACTGGACAGCTGTGTTAAATGGATACCTGCAACATATGACCTGTAAGTGGGACAACACTTTAGACATTTTAGAAATCCCATTTTAGAAGCCAGCAGAGAAAATGTGAAAGAGCTTACCACTGTAACATGTAACCCTGCAGACTGCCCACTAGAGAGATTCATTGGAATCTGCTGATGAAGAAACTAGAGTAAACATCAGTAATAATACAGGTCTCAGTTTTCTGAAGAGTTCTAAATCCAGTAATGACTCCAGCTAGCAGT